AATGAACTCGGAAAATGTGTGCCAGGATGACTAAATGAATCCTGAAGAACCCATATTAATATGCTTCAATGAATTCTGGAAAACGCGCAGGATGCGTTGAAGGGAATTCGGAAAATACGCAGAATATGCTTGAGCGAGTCCAGAAAATATGCAGGATGAGTTCGAGCGAGATTTAAAAACATACAGAGAGCATTTTAATGAAAACAGGAGAATTCAGAAAAAGCGAGTGCTCGGCTGAATTATCGGAAAATGCTCAGCAAGAATAGCATGGATGATGAGTGCGGCAGGAGTACAAATTATGGATGGACGAACCCGGAAAAATTTATACACAGCTTGCCGTTCGAAAACGATTTATATGCAAGTGTCAATCGTTGATAATATTTGCTTTGCGATGTGTGATTTCCTAAAAAATTACTCGTATTTCTTGTTTTTTGTTCTGGAATATAAATGTGGACAACCTTCTCTCCTAATACTTTCACAAAGCAAGAAAGTATTGGAACCGATTTCATAGACTTTTTCTTAGAAATAACTCCTCAACAGCCTGCTTGCTGATAAAATCAAACGAGCATTTTGCTGTGTTTTTAACTTAAATAAGAAAAAGCTGTTTGAATTCGAGTCCGATTCAGACAAAAAGTGCCGCTTTGACTGATGCTTTTAGGCTCTGAGGTGCTTCTTAAACGCTCTTCAACAATGTAATAAAAAAACGTTTACTAAACAAGCAGAGTTAAATATAAACGCAAAAATTACTAATATGAAGAACGAACTTTCCAAACGAATTACGGAATTGAACGAAAACTACTAATACAAACAACAGTTGACCTCTGATAAGCACTGATTACCAGTGATTTGATAGACTTTAATTTTTTTTTGCAAAAATTCGACCAGTCAGTTGCACAGCTTCGATTTCTCTATGGATCCTAATCCATTACAAATGATTTTAGCAAGAAATAGTAGTGGGCTTTAAAGGGTCAGCACTTGCGTGTTTGCGATATGTCCGCTGCCGGCACTCTGCGACTAGCTGACCAGTAAAAAATAAGTATCCGTGGTCAACTTTTCAAAATATTTGAACGACCAAAAGTTCCGGACTCATGATTTTTTCGCAACTTCTGTTTGGAATTACAGTCTGAAAATCATGAAAGTGGGTTTGAAAATCGAAACTTGCTCAATCAAATTAGAAACTCAAAAATTCACTCCATCTTGATTCCAGGTGGAAAACTGAGTCAGGCATGAGACTGTATAACAAGGGGGCTTTGAAGTTTTAAAGCCGATCCCAGAATAAAAACCTGTGCGGGAAATGAACCCTCAGCACTTTTAGGTTCGCAGTTTCTCTAGTTGCCAGCCATGAAATTGTTGCAAAACTCATTCCGATCTATGAACTGTTGGACCGAAAGTGAAGTGATCAT